GGCCCCAGTGTGTGATGTTCCCCTTCCTGAGTCCAAGTGATCTCATTGTTCAGTTCCCACCTATGAGTGAGAACATGCGGTGTTTGGTTTTCTGTTCTTGGGATAGTTTGCTAAGAATGATGGTTTCCAGCTGCATCCATGTCCCTACAAAGGACACAAAAAGAGCTATTTTCTAATCTCTCTGTCTCCCAGGCAGGCCTTCTTGAGCCCACTCCCATGGCTTACTGAATGAAACTGCTCTTATCGAGTGCATCGGCCATCTCCACGTTGCTCAATCCAAAGGTCAGATTTCAGTCCTCACCTCCCTTGATCTGCCAGGAGTGTCTGACAAAGCCTCCTCCTTCCTTCACCTGGCTTTTGGGATGTGTCCGGGTCCCTGCTTTGTTTCTGTTGCTGACTCCCACCTCTGTGCCCCTCGCAGGCTCAGCCCTGGAACCTCTCCTCTAGCTACACTCACTCCCTTTATTTTTTCGCACACCCTAGTAGGTTTTTTTAAAAAAGAGATGGGGTCTATGTTGTCCAGGCTGGTCTTGAACTCCTGGGTTCAAGCAATCCTCCCGCCTCAGCCTCCCAAATTGCTGGGATTTACAGGCATGAGCCACCGCACCCCGCAAACTCTAGTAACTTCATATACCATCATCTGCCTACTGAGAACTCCTGAATTTCCCAAATGTACCTCCTATCCTGGCCCCATCCTCAATATTCCACACATATATCCCAATATCCCACTGCTTCCTTAACATATCTTCTTGTGGATATTCAAAAGGCCTATCAGGCTGAAGATACAGAGGCCAGAATTGGGCTCCTCCTAATCTCTTCCCACAAACCTGCTTCTCCTGCAGTCTTTCCTATTTCAGTAAATGGCACTCCGTTGTTACAATTCCCCAGGCCAAAACTTGGAAGTCATCTTGGACTCTAAAACTTCGTATCTCATCCATACATCTTTTAAAGATGTCAGTTACATCTTTAAAAGATATCCAGAATCCGACTACCGTCTTATCATCTTTGTGCAAAATCTCACCTGGAATTTCGTAATAGCTTCTCACCTGTTCTCCCTGTTTATATCCTTGATCATCTCTGGTTATTTATTTATCTATTTAGAGAAAAGGTCTCACTCTGTCACCCAGACTGCCAGACTGAAGTGCAGTGGCAAGAATACTGCTCACTGCAGCCTCAACCTCCTGGGCTTAAGCAATCTTCCTGCCTCAGCCTCCTGAGCAGCCGGGACCACAGGCATGCACCACCATGCCCAGCTAATTTTTTTTTTTTTTTTTTTTTTGAGACAGGGTCTTGTTCCATTGCCCAGGCTAGAGGGCAGTGGCACAACCATAGCTCACTACAGCCTCAACTTCCCGGACTCAGGTGATCTTCCCATTTAGTCTCCTGAGTAGCTGGGACTACAGACACATGCCACCATACCAGGATAATTTTTTGTATTTTTTGTAGAGACAGGGTTTTACCTTGTTGTCCAGGCTGGTCTCAAACGCTGGGGCTCAAGCTGTCCACCCGCCTTGGCTTCCCAAAGTGCTGGGATTACAGACATCTGCCACCATGCCTGGCTCTGATGTATTCCTAACACAACAGCCAGAGTGGTCCTTTTTGGTTTGCTTTAGATCTTAGGTCACTTAAATCTCTCTGTTTTATACGACAATTTCCCTTCCTGCTTTTTTTTCTCTTTCATGCCATCAATCTACTAGAGAAATCAAGTCATCTATCCTATAAAATGTCCTACATTTTGGATGTGACTGACTGTAATCTCGAGGTGTCTTTAACTTGTTACTCTGACCCCTGTATTTCCTATAAACTGAGAGACTCGCATTAGGCTTGGAGTCATGTTCAATTTTTTAGGCAAGAACAGTTCATGAATGTGGCTGGGTACTTCCACTTACATAGTATCATGAGGCACATCAAGTCTGGCTGCCATAGTTGTAGCAATGCCAAGATTGTCTGGTGGATTCAGACGGCAGGTAGCCAGATTTCTCCTGTATTTTCCCACCATCCTCTCACCCAGTGATGGCTGCCTAGATCTGTGTCCTCATTAGAGGTGGCAAAACAGCAATGTTCTATGCTAGTACTCCTTCTGCATTTATTAACTGGAATTCTATAAAGAAGCCTTCTCTCTCGTTAACCCTCTGGTTTCTTGGAGTTAACAGTTTATACAGGAAAGGTGGGATAAATGCTTCATTTTTTGCCTTCATTAATTTTTAAAGAATTGAGTTACTCTCCTAACAACCCAAAATCATGACCGACGAGTTCCACTTTCTTTTAAAGTTATTTCAAATGTATGAATTTTATGTACTTGATGTTTTCAATCTACTGGGCTCAAGTGATCCTCCTGCCTCAGCTTCCTGAGTAGCTGGGACTACAGGTACCACCATGCCTAGCTTATTGTTTTTTGATGCTCAAACTTTTCTATCTTAAGCCCCAGGAACCCTTCCAAATTGGTCCCTGAGTCCTTCTGACACAATTCCATTAGCTTTTGTTAAGTTCCTCAGTCTTCACCACACTATGTCCTAGGTGTATCTTGTCTATTTCCTGCCCCAGACCTATAATCAGCCATTTCTCTAAAAAGCCCTGCTTCCTATTAGTGGAAAATAGTTAAGACCACAACTTGGGCACTGGG